TGTTGCTGTTTTGTGCGGCAGTTCATTCGGTGGAGGCAGTGAAGATAGCTGGTGTATACAAAGGGTTAGGAGTTGCGTCGGGGCAATAGGAGCAAGGGCTTAACATGCCTCTGGAAAGCACCCCTAATCTAAGCTTAGATTCATGGCTACCAACTGTCCCCCCCCCATCCCACACAGGGCCCCAGCTGACCTCAAAATGGTGGTGGGGGGGCAACAGCCTATCTTAACATTGAACCCTGTGAAGCAACTGAGGGGTCAGTGGGGGAGGTGGCTCCCCCCATCTCTCCTGCAAACCAGGGAGAGCAAAGGCGAGTTCTGCTTCTGTCCCAGGGGCCTCAGGCTTCAGCAAGGGGCACTTCAGGGCGATGGCCTCTGGAGACTTAAAGCCACGCTTAGGGGTCTAGGTAAAAGTGAAAATTAACTGGCTGTAGACGGACATAAAGCAGGAAAAGGCATTGTACCAAACAACCTCTAGTAAGCCAAAGCATTTCCCGCGGCTATAAATGCTAGACTGTGTACCCTCTTGATTGTAGAGGAGTTTAGGGGCAGGATGGGAAAGACAGACCCTGGAGAGCCACTGCCAGTCAGCATAGACGGTGCTGGCTTGGCTAAATCAGTGGTCTGATACGTGGTAAGATAGCCCCATGTGTTCCTGTGAGTCCATGCTGGGCTGGCTGGGGAAAGAGGCAATTTGTGTGTACTTCTTGGCCCTTGAGTGAGCTGCAGCAAGATGCTCAGGAAAAAAACAGCTCATCCTGACTCATACTACCTAGCCCCAGCCTGAAAAGAGCTCCTGTGGAACAGTTTACATGACTGGACAGCTCATACCCCACCACAACACTCCTTGCCTGTGTCGTAAGCCTCATGGTGGGTACTCTCATGCTCCACAGTTCACAGGAAAAAGAGCTCCAAGTGCAGCAGGTCACCCACAGTGACTCTGGAGCAGCCAGTACTAAGGAGACAGGCCTGGTAGCCAGAGGGCGTAATGAAATCTATTTTACAATTACTCCGTTTCCTTTTCCTTTTGCACAGTATGAATAAAATCATGAGATGATGCAGGCAGAGGCCACCTTTCCTTTATGGTCTCTTCCACGTCAATGTTTTGGTCAGCTTGGGTGCTAATTTGCATTTCTTTTGGTCCACTTCCACACAGTACAGTGCATTTATGCACCTCCTAGCTTTTCCCGTGATCTTTCCAACACCTGGTTACTAAGTTGTTTTTGAAAGATCTTGGGAAGGCTAGAGTGGCTGCTGTACGAATAGGCAAGTGTGGATCTTTCTGAGCCCTGCCCACATTGGCTCCCCAGTGGCCACATCCTCACTACCACCAAAAGCTGGGGGGGGGCTTAATTAGTAATTGACAATAGCAGTATGTCTGTTACTGGGTAAGAAGGACGTGCACTAAAACATATTATGTGGAAGCCAATTACCACTGAGTTTAATTGATAGCTGCTACAACAGAACCTTGGAGAAACATCATTGTGTGGAAGACTCTATTGTGTGCTTATGGTAAAAAAAAAATTACGCTTTCTGCTTTTATCTTACTCTGAAGCCAGCCTTGTCTGATCCGGCTCTGCACTATAAGGGGTAGGAAGATGCCAGCCATCCTTTCTCCTACGCTTAGTTTATGCACTTCACATAAAAGCCCTGTGACACAGATCCATAGCTGTGATACATTAAGGTGTGGTCTGAAGCCCTAGCATAATGCTGATTTAGATACCAACTAGATCACTGTAGGCAAATAAGTAAAGGCAATCAAGCCAGCATTTTACAAGGCAAACCAAGATTCAAATGATCATCTGTGAGTAAAATCCTGACTTCAAACCCCCAGAAGCGACAATAAACCAGTTTCACATTTTGTCTGAACTGAATCCTATTATGGGTGGTAGGAATTCAGTTAGGAGGAAGGGGAGGCAGTGTCTTTTTTTGAAAAACCAATTACCTTCCTGCCCCTGCCTTCTCTACCTGCAGTGAAGTATGTACATTTCCTTTGTTGTAGATTAATGTTCCAGGCAATACCAGAGATGCAGTAACCTGCATCTCTCTACCTGAGAGTTACAGAAAACTAACATCTTTAAAAGAGAAAGATTACAGAAAAAGTTTTAAAATATGGAAAAAAAATATTTTTAGGCCAGAGTTTTCTACAGGTATTAATGAATATTTTTCTTAATCCTTATAAGTTTTACTGTGTTTAATATTTCTTAATACCGGTAGCATTAATTTATACTTTTGTAGCAACACACTATTTTTATAAAGATCGCCACCACTGGCTTGTCTTCATGATTGGGGGGAGGGGGTGTGGGGAACCGGTCAAGGGCAGCCGACCCTCCTGTCAAACCATGTACTGTATTAAAAAAAAAAAAAGGTTATCTACTGTCACGCTTGCTGTGTGTTAAATAAAGACTCTTGTTCAAAGTCTCCTGTATGGTTGCTGTTCAGGGATGGCCTCCCAAGTGCATTATTGGCACAAACTCAGTAGCTGACCTTTCTTTCTGTGAAGAAACACTTGAAACTGTTAAACATTCTCAGCTTTTGCCTGGGGCGAAAGGAAGGGGTAGGCAGATAGAAGGAGAAATAAATATAAACCTAATTGATTCCCTGCTGTTTTGAAATTGGCTGGTTTCAGTGTGGAAAGCTATTAATAAGCCACACAAGCCCCTTTAACAATAATTGCTACTTGTAATCAACCTGAATGGAGGGGACCCATATCCAAGGATTAGTGAAGCCAACTAGCTTCCCAGCAGTAGCACAAAAGAAACTCTAAAGCAGGGCTGTTGGGGGGGGGGGGGGGGGGGGGGGTGTGGCACCTTAAAGACTAATATTTATTCCAGTATGAGTTTTCTTGAGCCTGGGCTTGCTTCTTCAGATACAATGTGTGTGTGTAGGCCACAGTGGCACCAGAATGCCTCAATGGCAGAGCTTGGCCTCCTAAACTCTGCTTGCATTTAAATGTTTGCTGGGCCTTACAGGCAAAAAATTGAAAACGTGTGTTGAATTAGCAGCTTTGGGGGCTTCTAGATAAATTTAAGGAAAGTAGACAAAAATCTGCATTTCCGAATTCACCCAGTTTATACAAGAAAAGTTTTCTTACCACAAACCTTGTTACCAGGATAGACACAGCCCTGCTCTAAAGTTCCTGTGAAAATTCCTGTAAGAAAGATCTTTCCAAGTTAAATGCCCAGGTGGAAGACATATAATAAAAGCCTGTACCTCTAAGAAGCTGTTTCTTGGGAGATTCATGTCAAGTGTTGTATTTATGATTTTACAATAAAACAGTCTTTGGAAAATGTAGCATGTCTCCTCTCCCCTTTTCATCCCTTTTGAGAATAGACTGAAGCCCAGCCAAGGATGCCAGACGCTCCCCACAGAACCAAACAACCTGAAATGACTTAAGACCAAAAATGACTTTTATTTATATAACTGCTTTTTTAAAAGTCATTAATATCCAGGGCAAGCACTTAGCCAGGTGGCCATAGTTTGAGCCGAAGCTGGAACTGGATCATCTGCCACTTCTTAAAAGCTTAGGAGCAGATCTTGCAGTCTCCCTCAGATGGAAAAACAGTTGAGCTGAACAGCACAGAGAAAACCCCACACAGGGACTTAGAATCATAGAGTATTGGAAGGGACCTTGCAGGTCATCTAGTCCAACCCCCTGCACTCTGCAGGAGCATAGCCAAAAGATAGCGCTACAACATACCCGAAAGATGGTCGTCCAGCATCCGCTTGAAAACGTCCAGCGAAGGAGCATCCACCACCTCCCGAGGCAGTCTGTTCTACTGCTCAACCACTCTTACAGTTTCTCCTGATATTTAGCCGGTAACGACTCCCTTGTAATTTCCACCCATTAGATCTAGTCTTGCGATCCGGAGCAAGCGAAATAGATCCGCTCCATCTTCTACATGACAGCCCTTCAAATACTTAAAGGCTGCAATCATGTCCCCTCTAAGCCTTCTTTCCCAGGCTAAACATACCCAACTCAGCCTTTCCTCATAAGACTTGGATTCCAACCCTCTCACCATCCTGGTTGCCCTCTTCTGGACACACTCGACTTCCCAGTGCCATGGGTATGCTCCAGCCCAGGAAATAAAATGGCATCTGTTGGTTTAGCAGCTTGTCTGTGTGGTTCAGATCTAGTGATCAGATGCAGTACTGCAAAAAAGGCAGTCCTTGCAAAACACCCAGCAATGCCACCAGATAAGGCTTCCTGTTTAATGCAACAGTAGACACTTCTTGTATTTTGCCACTGAACCAGCTAGCTAGCAGGCTGCTCTGTAAACCTGTGCTGAGTCACCACAGACGCTGGAAGAATTTTCCTTTGGTGCAGCAAAATCTTTACCTGTCATCCAAGCTTGCAATCATCACCTAGACAAGATGTTTTCTAACCTACAAGACACTGACGGAGGCAAACACTCCCATTACAAGGCATCATCTGAAAGCCGCCACCACCTTGCTGGAGATTAGTTTCACATAAACCTGCTACAAGAGGACAAGAGTCTTGGCCTTTGCTTGAAAAACGCAGGTTTGGTGAGCCCAGATTTCAGTGAGATGTTGCAGCCAACAACCCAGGTTGCATTCAAACCAGAAACACCTTACCACCCAAGGATATTTCTCACAGACCCTAGAGCAGGGGTGTCAGACTTGTGGCCCGGGGGCCAGAGTAGACCCCCGGAGGGCTTCTATGAGTTCTGCAGTGGAACTGACTGTCTTCTGCTGCTGCTTCCAGTTCTGCTGCTGCTACGTCATCATAGGTTTGCAGCTTACAGATACACACCTGAACAGCATACTCAAGATTGCAACAGCAGACATTTTGATGCGATAATTCAGAGCAAGAGGTGTCAGTTACCAGACACTGTTAAACAAAATATTGCAAGAGTGCTATATGTTTTAAGCATGTTTTTATTTTAAGTTAAAAAAAAGTGTTTGTGTCCATTATAAAGTTTATACCTCTGCTACCTGGCATTACCTTTTATGACACACATGGCCCAGCCCAACAAGGCCTCATTTATGTCAGATCCGGCCCTCATAACAAATTAGTTCGACACCCCTGCCCTAGAGTGTAAGTACACAGCTGGGAAATCATGCATACCATTTGCAAGTAAAGACAGCAATTTCAGGAGGGCATACACACAAGTAAAAACCCACTTGGCCCACCGGAACTTAAGAGGAAGCCGACAGCAGAAAGGCAGCTTGTGTTCAGTGTCTTAGCTACAGATGCACAGTTCCTAATGCCCCGCTCTTCACAGCTGCAGGGCAAGGGCCTGCGAGGCATCGAAGCAGGGGCTCCCTCGTCTGATACAGAGTCACACTGCCCGCTTGCCCTCCCTTCTTCCTCTCGGCATGAGGCTGATATGTCCCTGTGCCTCACCACTTGGGTCCACCAGGTCTAGGTCATGAAACCCAAATTTGTAGGAGGGAACAGGGAGACGAAAGGTTTTCACAAGCCAAGGAGTGACAGGTTGGGAGACTAGGCTGCTTCCTCTGGAAGGGTTCTGGTAGAGCTGCCATAATGGTGGGGCTTCATAGCCCCCTAATGCAGGTGGCCATGGGAATGGAACTGGGGGAAAAGCATCTTCAGCAGAACAATGCAAAAGGCCCTTTTTCATTTTCATATGATCTCCCAAGGGTGAGAAGTAGGGATGTGCCTGCTCCATGTGTCCGCTTTGGAAAGCAAAGTCTCTATTCCATCCAAACAGCAAGCAGAAAGTCTCTCTGAGGTGCAAACAACACTCCGTATAGCATTTCTTAACTCCCCCCACCCCGCCACAAGGCTGAGGGAGTCCATGGCACCTTTTCACACAGCCTGACTCTGGCTGAAGGAAAAAGGGTTCCGATAGCATTGCAAGGCAAGCCGCTGTGGCAGTCACCAGTCTAGCCCATTCTTCTGACCTGTGAACGTCACACTGTGTGCACTGTAGAACTGGGAGTACCAGCGCCGGTGCCTTTGGATGGCAGAGTCCTCCTTCACCAGCAGTGGCTTTGAGAGGTACTGCTTGTTATTCCAGATCATGATGTCCCTCTCAAACTGGGGAGGGGAAGACAAGATTAAAAGCTTCTATGTATCAGAAAGGCCCAGCAACCAAGATGCCTAAGGCTGAGTGTGCTCAATACAAATTAAACAAATCAACACGCATTTGTTTTTCCAGAGCCAGTTTGGTGTAGTGGTTAGGAGCGCGGACTCTAATCTGGGAGAACCAGGTCTGATTCCCCACCCCTCCACATGCAGCTGCTGGTGTGACCTTGGGCCAGTCATGGCTCTCTCAGAGCTGTTCTTTCACGAGCAGTTCTCAAAAGAGCTCTCTCAGCCCCACCCACCTCACAGGGTGTCTGTTGTGGGGAGGGGAAGGGAAAGGAGATTGTGAGCCACTCTGGGACTCCTTCGGGTAGTGAACGGTGGGGTATAAATCCAATCTCTTCTTCTTCTCCTTTGTCATTTAGTTAGATTAATAAGAGCAAGGGCAGAAGTCCTAGCCTAGCCTCTTGAAATCTAAGAGGATGTTTCTGGCCCTTACTGTTCCTAAGCTGAGGAGCTTCCACCCCACCAAGTTTATGTATTTATTATCTATTTGTTAAATTTGAATTATTATTTTTTTAGACTGCCCTCCCCCGGAAGAACCGGGCTCAGGGTGGTGTACAAGCTGATATCACATATACATTGTGAAAAACGGATTAAAACCAATAAAACACAGCAATACCAAAAAAATGGTGTTAAAATTTCCTGATGGCATCACTGGCTCACAGGGAAGCAGGGGGTGGGAGTGCCAGAAAGGATGAAGCCGTCGCTGTCCTCAACCAAACGTCTTGCAGAACATCTCTGCCTTACAGGCCCTGCAGAACTGGACCGGGTCCCGCAGGGCATGGATGTTATTCGGCAGAGAGTTCTGCCAGGGTGGAGAATGCCCTGGCTCTTGTTGTGGACAGCCGGATATCACTTGGGCCAGGGACCACCAGCAGACGTTGACCTACTGAGCGCAGTGCTCTCCTGGGGGTATACCAGGAGAGGCAGTCTCAAAGTTACATGGGTCCCAGACAGTTAAAGGCCTTAAAGGTCAGAACCTTGAACTTGATCCGGTACTCCACTGGAAGCCAGTGCAGCTTGGGCAGCACAGGGTGGATGTGTGCTGTATGCAGAGTCCCAGTAAGGACCCATGTGGCCACATTCAGTACCAGTTAGAGTTTGGGGGTCAACCTCAAGGGTAGACCCACGTAGAGCAAGTTACAGTAATCCAGTCTGGAAGTGACCATTGCATAGATTACTGTGGCTAGATCGGGGCAAGACAGGTAGGGAGCTAGTCGCCTGACCTGGTGCAGTTGGAAGAATGCCAGTCTGGCGACATTTGTGATCTGGGCCTCCACTGTTAAAGAGGCATCCAGGATCAGACCCAGGCTCTTCTTGATGGTGGGTACCAGTGTTCCCTCTAAGCTGAGTTAGTGTGAGCTAGCTCACAATTTTTTAGCCTCCGGCTCACACATTTTTTTCCTAGCTCAGGAAGGATGGCTCCAGAGCAAACTAATTGATGCCGCAGCCAAATTGCTCGCTCACAACTTTAATGCCAGTAGCTCACAAAGTAGAATTTTTGCTCACAAGACTCCAAGGCTTAGAGGGAACATTGGTGGGTACTTGTTTTAAGGACACACAGTCAAGAGCTGAGAGTTGGCACCCCAAAGTAGAACCTCCCTGCCCCAGCCACAAAACCTCTGTCTGAGAAAGATTCAGTCTCAGCCGGCTCTGTTTCAACCATCCCACCACAGCCTCCAGCCCCTCAGCCAGTATCGGTGAGGCAGTGGATCAGAAGACCATGATCAACCACGTCGAATGCTGCTGTAAGGTCTAACAATATCAGCAGCACTGATCCACCTCGATCCAACTGTCTGTGGAGCTTGTCTGTGAGGGTGACCAAAGCCATTTCTGTCCCATGGATGGGGCAGAAGCCAGACCGGGACAGGTCCAGGGCTGATGTGTCTTCCAGAAAACTCTGGAGCTGCTCTGCAACCGCTCTCTCAATTACCTTACCCAGAAACGAAATGTTCGAGACTGGGCGATAATTGGATGGATCTGAAGGATCCAAAGTTGGTTTTTTAGGAGCAGTACAACCTCAGCCTCTTTCAGTCCCCCCGGGTAGACCCTGAAACCCAGGGACAGATTGATAATGTCTACCAGGGGACCCTGGATTCCTTCACCGCCAGCTTTCAGTAGCCACGGGGGACACAGATCTAAGAGGCATGTGGTCGGCCTAACAGCGCCCAGAATCCTGCCAACACTGGCCTTGGCACTGTCCCATGCAACAAAGACAGACTGGCAAGAGGCACACTGGGGAAGAGAAGCTCACATTCCTGCAGTGCAAGATGCTGCTCGCTGCCCTCACTAGAGTGCAAGGGTGGTTCCAGCTAGCCATTCCTCAGACATCTCCACTCCTCTCGCCCCAGATTCCCAGGTCTCCTTTCAAACAATGGAACAACCTGTGTGGGCACACAGACACCTGCTCACCTGGACACTTTCTGCCCACAGCATGAACTTGGGGATAAAGCCAGGTATGCTTCTCTGGTAGTACATCCGATGGATCACATGCTGCAGAAGTGGTTCCACAGGTGTTACGCTGTGAATCATGATCCCATCGCCCAGGAAAGGATGGTTAAAGAACAGGAAAACCAAGCCAGCCCCAAACTGGGGGGGGGGGGGGGGGGGAGAGAGGGAGAGAGTCACATTAAGTTGGCCGGTAGGGATGATCTACTGATTCAACACAATGCAAAACTGACTGATGAAATTCACTGTCACAAGTTACAGTGAAATCAATTAACTGAAGTAGCTTCTTAAAATCCTGTTTTCTGGATTTTAGGCTGGTTTCACACAGGGAAATTTCCCGCACATGGACAGCGGGAAGCCCTCGCATTAAAGGAGAACATCCACACAACATCATGCCCACTCCAAGCGTGATTCATGCCATTCCTTGGACTTTCCCTTTTAGGGCTGAGGAATTGTTCTGTGATTCAGAGTGGAATCTGCAGAGTGGCTGCAAGAGAGCATCTCTGTGAAGGACAGAGCTTCAAGACGATGCCCAGCTGTAGCATTTGATGGTTCTGTGAATGGGAGAGGTGATCCTAAATGGGAAGCAACAGAAGAACTCCTTCCTGTGTTCACCCACCAACTTCAGACATGGCATGTAGAAGGTTCTTTCATTTCCAGTCTTGGGCCAAGCTGTGGATACGTTCTAATCAAACACTGTGTTGATCCTGCAGCTTGTTTTGCATACATTTAATCCTAGTGGCAGGATTCACCTCGTTTTGCATAATTTATTCTGCTTCCGCCAAGTCTGAAGGACGAAAGAGGGCACTGAAGTTCCATCTCCACATCCAGCTACTGGAAATCCTTATTGTGCAGCTCTCCCACCTTCCAAAATTTCAAACCACATACTTTCAAGCATCTCAGCAGCCATAAGGATAAGACAGATGTAGGAGTAACATACACAGCAGACACATCATCAGGACATGGAATTCTGTGCATACTACCAGTTTCTGCCTTTGCACATAAAATAAGAATACATTCAGCTATCTGTATAGGCACTTCTGGTTTCAGCTAGTGACCATTGCTGAGAAGTTTTCTGGTTAAAGGGAGCTGGGCTAATTATCTTTCCTAGCCTCTTTTCTGGACAGCCTAAAGAAACAGCTACCAGTTGCATCATTTTCCCACTGAGCACAGCAGAGGACCTCAGTCATGGCAGTAGAATGCCATACCTGCTTGGCTAAAACAGTCACATCCATGATGGGCAAGTGCTTGCCAAAAATGGTTATGTAGTGTTTCACAGTCATGCAGGAACAGTGTGTGTCTGGCTCTGGATCCGGCTGCCAGTCTGCCTAGAAGAAAAACAGTTTACAAATGAGGACTTCAAACTCTGGCGAGAAACTAAGACAAAGAGCACAGGGGTGGGGGTGTGAGGAAACAGTACAGACGCAGGTCTGAGCACAGGACATTTTTTATTTTTAAAATATTTGTAGCACACCTTTCAAAGAAAATGCCCTCCAAGGCACAGAGTGTTATAAGGATTAAAGTCAGCCTAAAATGGCCACACACACTACCAGATTAACAGCATGCCAGACAAGAAGCCATTGCCAGAAAAAAACAAGGCCATGCAGACAAGGTCACCCAGCTCCCAACCCCTCAGCAGCTTTCACCTGCAAAGGAACCACGCTGAAGTCAGGTATGTTCTGTATGGTGCCAACTGCACTGCAAGCTGAAACCAGCTTCACAGCCATTCTCTTTGGAATTAATCTAGGGGGAGAGGTCTGGGATTCTATCAAGACTGTGGAAATCTCTCTTTTCTGTGAATCCCAGTGGCTTAAGCTCCTAGTCCTCATAATCAATTGAAACCAAGTCTCACTCTTCCTAGAAAACAGTTGGAAGTGGCTACGCTGGTCCAAAGCAAAACCAAGAAACAAAAGTTTTCATGCATTTGTGTGTCATTTTGATATATCCTAATAAAAGGTATTACTCTTGGCTTTTGGCTTTGGACAGTCAACCCTTGTTTTCCTGTTCCCCTCCCCCCCCCTTTGTTATTTCTTCCAGTATCAAAACTTAGACTGGAAGCTTTCTGGGTCAGGGACCTGTGTTTTCTCCTTATGAGTCTGAAGGCAGTGCAACACTGCTTGGGGGGGGGGGGGGATCATGGACACATTGCCCAAGCCACCCAGCTAACCATACCAGATGGTCTAGAAGACCATATAAATGCAGAAGACCACTAACCAAGCTGCAGTAATACAGGTCAGTTCAGTCAACTAATGGTGGTCAGTATCCCATTGACATGGTTAGGGTGGTGAGATGAGGAGCTTAAGAACATCAGAGCCCTACTGGATCAAGCCAGCGGTCCACCTAGCCTAGCATTTTGTCTCACACAGTGGCCAGCCAGTTGATCTGGAGGGCCAACAGCAGGGCACAGAGAAGCAGTTTGGTGTAGTGGTTAAGTGCGCGGACTCTAATCTGGGAGAAATGGGTTTGATTCCCCACTCCTCCACATGCAGCTGCTGGTGTGACCTTGGGTCAGTCATAAGTTCTTTCAGGGCTGTTCTCTCAAGGGCAATTCCCGGAAGAGCTCTCTCAGCCCCACCTACCACACTGGGTGTCTCTTGTCGGGAGGGGAAGGGAAGGGGATTCCAAGTCGCTCTGAGACTCCTTCAAGTAGTGAAGGGTGGTGTATAAATCCAATATCTTCTTCTTCTTCTTTCCTTGATGTTGCCTTGTAGCACTAGTATTTCCCTTTAGTCACCACGGCTAGTAGCCATGAATCTGTCTTATGGTTTTTAAAGCTGTCTATGCCTATGACCATCACAGTGTTTATACTGTCACCCTTTGGCCTGAGTTTTCCCAGTCTTCTTTCCCGGTGAAACTGCTCTGAAAGCCCAGTGCCTCCCCCAGGAAGAGACCCCAATTACCTTCCAATTATGCTTGATGAACTTCCAGAATTTCGATTTTGTGTGTCGCAGGTCTACCCCATTCATAATGCAGGGCCCATGGAGAAAAGACAGGTGAGCGATGTCTGCAGCATTCTCAGGAATTTCCTGGCACAACAGGAAAGGGAATTTATCATCAGCAGAATGTCAAAAACAGCTAACTTATTTTGGAACAGACCATTGCTCCATCTAGCTTTGTACTACTAAGACTAGCAACAGATCTCCAAGATCTCAGGCACAGTTTGGTGTCGTGGTTAAGTGCACGGACTCTAATCTGGGAGAACTGGGTTTGATTCCCCACTCCTCCACTTGCACCTGGCTGGATGACCTTGGGCAAGCCGTAGCTCTGATAAGAGCTGTTCTTGAAAAAGAGCAGTTTGTGTCAGAGCTCTCTCAGCCCCACCCACCTCACAGGGTGGAGTTTGTAAGGAGTTTGTAAGCCGCTCTGAGACACCTTTGGGTAGTGAAGGGTGGGGTATAAATCCAATCTCTTCTCTTCTTTAATTACTGCAGAAATCAAGGAATGAACCTGGGGCCATCTGCATGCAACTATACAGACAGGATACAAGAGACCAAGGGCAAAGATCAAGGAGGCAAGTCGATCGTCTCATGCGTATCCTACCACCATCCTACCCAAACTGTGCTCTGTAAGACAAACCTGCCCCAGCAAAGGCTCAAGGAGGGAATGTATTCATTCAGTGCATCATACAACTCCCAGCCAACTACTACTATCTACAGCTACCTTGAACTCTGCACCCTATCTCACAATCCTTGGCCAAGAAACCAATCCCCACTACATCCAATCTAAAACACGTACAAACACATCTGCATAGATTCACCTCTTGCTGTCCTCTCCTCTTTTGTACCCCACCCCCAATTTTAGGGTAAGTATCTCGGGGAAGAGATCTTGCCAACTTTCCTGAGCGCAGATGGCGTAAGCCGCATAGAATACCTCAATGTGTGCATTGACAAAATGCTCAGTGATGCCACGAAAGACCCACGCTCCAGAAGCCACCTCCTCCTGCTCTGGGACTTGCCATGTTGGGCTGACACCGTCACAGTGGTACCAGACAAGGATCATGCCACCAGCCTCACATGATGGCCAAACCTTGACCGAGGCAAATTCAGGCACTGGAGAAATTGGAGGGGAGTGGGTGGAGGAAAGAGAATTAGGAGTGTCAAAACTGGGATGTTAGCTTCGCAACTTCCCCATGGCTAGCTGCAGACTGCAGTGGCAGCATCCACAGCCCTTCCGCCCCCCGGAAATGACAATTCCAGTGAAGCTGCTCTGAAAGCCCAGGGAACTGCATATCTCAGGGACCTTCTCTTCCCGTATGAGCCCCACAGAGCTTTGCACTCATCTGACCAACACCATCTGGTTGTCCCTGGCCCGAAGGACGTCTGGCTAGCCTCAATTAGGGCCAGGGCTTTTTTGGCCCTGAGCCATAGCCTGGTGGAACAAGCTCCATCTGAGATCAGGGTCCTGCGGGATATGTTGCAAGTCTGCAGGCCTGTAAAATGGAGCTGTTCCACCGGGCTTATAGTTGAGGCAGTGGGGTGTCCAAATTCCACCTTTTGGCCTCCCCTGCTGATAGCCCTGATCTAGTGATGAGTGGCTTGACATCCCACAACACCGCCCAGAAGGTTTCCATTTGAGCGCTGTCATTGAGCTAATTTTACATGTGACCTTGTAAGCTGCTCTGAGCCCGCTTAGCAGGGAGGGTGGGATAGAAGTCAAATAAATAAATAAATACAAGAAAGCTCTAAAGCTTCGTTGATTAAGCATGTTTCCTACCACTTTAATAAACGGTCCCAGCTCTCGTCTTATGGAGGGAGGGCAACAATAAGGATGCGCAGGAAGAGCTCAGATCCTGATGAGGCCTGAGAGACAAAAGAAGATACAACTCACCTTTCTTAGCATAGGGGATTCTGGTACACTTGCCATCTTTGCCACTGAATTGCCAGCCATGGAAGGGGCACTCAATGCAGCTGCCCACCACACGACCACCAACAGACAGGTTGGCACCAAGATGTGGGCAGTAGGCATCTAGCACATAAGATTGCCCACTGAGATCTCGGAACACTGCAAACTGTTCCCCTGCAAGACAGAGGACAGGACATTTAAAAAAAAAAATGTGTCAAAATAACCAGAAGATGAAAGGCACTGTCAGCAGCCTCCACAAATTGATCAAGCCTAGACTGTTCTGACTGAGCAGTGAGTTGTTAATCTAGATTCAGGATGAAAGAAGCATATGTGACTCTGGCCTTATACCAAAGTCACACCCTTGTTTCTTCAAACTCCACCCCATCTCTTCTGACTGGCTTAACCTCTAAGGCAGGGGATGTCAAACATAAGGCCCGGGGGCCAGAAGTGGCCCATCCATGGTTCTTATGCGGCCTGCAAGCAACTAGTGCAAGAGAGGGAACAGGAGACTGCTTCACGTATAATTTACCCACAACTGATAGAAGACTGATAGGGTGAAAATTTTCGGGTAAATTAGGATTGCTCTTCTTGTAGATTGGAATTATGATTGAGTTTAACCATTTATCTGGAAGAATACCATAGTGATCAATTGATGTAAATAGCTTAGCGAATAGAGGGGTCCACCAATCAGAAAAGCTCTTGGAGAGTTCGATGGGGAGTTCATCTGGGCCAGGGGCCCTACCTGACTTCAAGTTAGTTATTAATTCTGTGATTTCATTGGTATCTACTGGAGGCCATCTGGGAATACTAGAGGGAATAATCTCATCAGGGCCAGACAGGGAAACAGTATGGGAACTGAAGAGCGTAGGAAAATGCTCAACCCATATTTGGGGAGAAATGCACGATTCTGGTATGGGATTGTTATTTAACACCTCGGAGATTGCCCACCAAAAAGATTTACCATCCCGAGATTTAATAGATAGAAAAAGTTGGTTCTATCTATGCTGAAAATTATCATTCTTTTTCTTGATTATGAGGTCTTGAATTTTTTTTTTAGAAATAAGGTAGTTTTCCAGAGTATCAGGGGTTTCAGCCAAGCAAAATTCCCTAAATAGGGTTCTAAGATTTCTTTTAGATTCTAAACATTCTTTATCGAACCATGTTCGAGTCTTAGGAGGGGGTGCTTGAACAGGTTTGGCCAATAGGGAGCAGTGCTTGACAACTTAGGAAAAAGCAGATAGTACTTCTGAATGTGAGGTAGAGCTGATAGTAATGTTCTCAGCTCAGATATCTTCTCAGATTGGAGGAGAGAAAGAAAGTCTCCTTTCATGGTTTCAGACCATCTGATTCTTTTTAAAACTAAATCTGTATGTTGTTCTGGGAAAGAATTTGAGGAATGGGAAACCACAGTTGGACAAAGTAATGAAAGTAACATCGGAAGGTGGTCACTTTCGGTACGAAAAACGATGTTCATAGATTTAATAGCAGGCAAAAAACTGAAGGGACAAATACCATAGTCAACTACACTTCTCCCCTGTGGGGAGATAAAAGTGAAATTCGAAGATGCTGGAAACTGGGACAGGTCATTTAATGTTATTAGATTATGTTCTATACAGAGTTCTATCAATTTTCCAGCCATATTATAGCATAGATCTTTTGATTGACGGGGAAGACCTAGTTGAGGTGGCAATGGTTCTTCTCCATCGAAGCTCATAAAGGAAGACCAACTCTGAGTATCAGACCCAATTCAAGCATTTAAATCGCCAAGGAGAATAATTTGGGTCATCGAGTACTTTTGAAAGATTCCCGAGATGAAATTTACTAGCTTTGTCCAATTCTCTTCTAATGCATTATCACTATTAGAAGGGGGGAGGTAAATATTGATCACAATGAGACAAGGAATTGAAAAAGAAAGTAGCACTGCTTGGGCAATTGGCTCAGTTTGGTGTAGTGGTTAAGTGCACGGACTCTAATCCCCACCCCTCCACTTGCACCTGCTGATGTGACCTTGGGTCAGTCACAAGCTCTGGCACAGCTGTTCTTGAAAAAGAGCAGCTTGTGTCAGAGCTCTCTCAGCCCCACCCACCTCACAGGGTGCCTGTTGTGGGGAGGGGAAGGGAAAGGAGTTTGTAAGCCGCTCTGAGACTCCTTCGGGTAGTGAAGGGCGGGGTATAAATCCAATCTCTTCTCTTCTCTCTTCTTCTCACAACTTCCAATTTGCTCTATCCTAGAAAAAGAATTATGCTTTATCAGTACAGTCAGGCCAGCTTTACAGCGACCTTTAGGACAGTATCTGTAGGCTGGCAGGGAGAAGGAACTAAAGCCATTGATACTAAGGTCTCCTATTAATCATGGTTCCTGTAAACATATACAGTCAAAATTCCTGATGAAATTAATAAAATCGGTGTCCTATTTTGTTCCAGCCGGATATATTCCATGATATTAAATGGACAAGTCTGGTTTGGTTTCTTGAGGATAGTCAGTCAGTTACTTCTATCAGATCAAGTCTCTTATGGGTGTCATTGAAAATACATCCGTTTGTCCATGGAGGGTGAGATATAGTAGATGCAATAGTAGATGATGGTTCCATATATTCCGAAGTTGGATTTATTGAATCAACTTGAGTGGAGGGCGACGCAGGAAGATGGTCCACACTACCAGAACAGAGATTAGAAGAAGTCATTTGGGCAGGCAAGTCAGCCCCCAGTGATGATCTTTCCCCCTGAAGTGAGTTAGAAGTGGATAGAGATGTAGGCATTTTATGTGTTTGGAGACACTGCAGGGTACCTTCCAATCTGTCAATAACTTTCTATTGTTCCAAAGTGGGTAGATTTTCAAATAAGAGGAAAAAGGAGTCTTCAGGTGGATTACCCATACTGTCATTAATAGGTTCCGGTTCTGAAGTTATATCCTGTGGACAGTCTGGAAGTGCTGGGATATTTTCCTGTTGTCTGAGGGCATTAGATTTAGTTATTGCATCCCTTGGGCAGAGAGCAGGTATCACTGTGTTTACAAAATAGCAGAGTGGGAAGACTCCTTTTTTCCACAATTCTGATTTGTGCTTCAGTGCAACCGCAGGGATTCTCGAGGTTTTAAAGGTAAGGAGAACTTTCGTCGTTTGAATGCCAGAGTCAGGATTTTCAATATTAGTTAGATCATTTTTATGAGAGTCCATGCAGAGAAGTGCACTCAAGTGGGATTTCACTTGGCGGCTATTTCCCCAGCTTGGAACTCTGCCTCTGTAACAGCATATTGATAAACAGATTTTATTTGGTTGGAAAACTAGACACTGGGAATTGTCACCTGGTCTCTCTTTGAGATTGTTATTCAGACGAGGATTCTTCTCATTCATATAGGGTACCTCTCGAGGAGGATTTCTATTTGGATTAATTATGTTGGAGACAGAGAGAGTAGAAGTTGTGTTATTCAATGTAGAGATTAGTTTTTAACTTCAGAAGAAAGATTTGTTAGCTCAGCTTCCATTGCTCTAATCTTACTAAATAGACAATCCACAGTTTTAGCTATCAGCATGTAACCAGAGAGATTAGGTTCTTCATTAACCTCATGGAATATTTCTGTCTCCTTGTGTCCGATCCCCACAGCTGTCAATCAAATACACGTTTGTAGCAAAGTATTATTTTATTGAAGCCATGATGAAGCAGGAACAAGTTCACTGTTTGGAATAACTACAACGGTCGGGGCAAAGAATAATAAAGCAGATTCATACTGTCAATAACCAATGGACATGGTTCCCGCTCACGCGGGTGGACTCTCATACTCGCGCCCATAGCCTGAGAATCAACGGTTCCTAAAAGATAAACAATTAAGCTCTTCTCACACTCTAATTCATTATAGACTAAGCGAAGCCGACTCTTCCCCGCACCTGTGACCTTGCTGATTACCATAGTTCAAAGCAGTACTAGCGTTCATAGAAAGGAATGCATGAGACAAGCAAACGTGCAATTCATTATGCCAGCAAGCATGCGCAGTTGGGTATCACTAAGGAACATGAGGGGGGGGGGAAACCCTAAGCAGGGAAGGTTGTACACCACACAGAGTTCTTTGGCAGCTTGCTGACACCTTGCCAGTCTGAGTTGTAACATCTATGCTACAAGGTAATTCATGGGATTTATTAATAACAACCTCCCTTTCACTGTCAAAGGCAGTTTGTAGGGGAGAGAACTGATTAGTTGTTTCGACAGCAAAGATATATCGCTCCTCAAGGTTATTTTTGGTGCAAAGAAATCCCCAATCTTTGACTGTTTGCAGACTGGGGACTCAGGTAACTCTTTTGAGTCTCTTAAGCGTTTACCAGATGCCATTAAGGAAAGGGTAATATGGGTGGTAGTTTCTCCACCCACCAATGTAGCAATACAACTTCTAAGGAAGAAATTCTTTGTCTGTTATCAGAAAAGGAAAAAATATCTGGTTGATTCGGTAGCTTAAACGGTTAATTCAGTCTCAAGTCTGTGTAGTAGTAATATCAGCAGTCCTACAACAACAACAGAAACTTGGCAAATTGCCCAGCTGCCCAGTAATTCCAAATACGAGATATATCCAGATACAAACACAGGCACTCATACAAGTTTCTATGCAGAAAGGACTTAATTAAAACCTTTACAAAGCGGAAGGCATTGGAGCTCCAAATCAAGCCAGCCAGCCAGCCACCGCCCATGGGGGGGCGTCTTAAGCAGAAAGTCTCAACAGCTATGATCTCCAATTCTTTAAATGTAAATGTCTGGGATTGAACCCTGCACCTTCTGCAAGCAAACCTGGTGCTCTGCCATTAAGTGGCAGCCCATTCCCGTTATTACATGAAGAACAATTCATGGATTCACTAGTATGAGAGGTGAGGTGGCTACTAGAGGTTACTGCTTTAAACAAAGATGATTGATGGACAATGTACCATGGTAACTCAATGGAGCCTCGGTGTTCAGAAGTAGGACGAGTATCAGATGTTGGGGACAAATGGGGATGTCTCCCCAGCAAAGCCCCAGAGACTTCTGGCTGGCAGTGGATAGAAACAGACTACTGCACTAAATGTATCTTTGTTCCAATCCAACCAGGTAGTGCTTAAGTGCCCAGGGTTCTGCAGCAGGCTAGAAATTGGGGGCGGAGTTAGAAGTGCCAGGCAACTGCATCATGACGTTGCTATTCCTTCTCAACAGACATTTAACCAACTAGTAGCCACTAGGTGGCACTCAAGTTATAGCCAGAGGCATTTGGAGAGTGCAATATGACTGCAGAACTTGTGGAGAGCCAGCTCAAAAAGAGTCTTTTTTAATGTACAACATTTAATTTAAAAATGTTGACACGACAATATATAAAATAGCTGTTATAAATGCACATAGTGTACTCAACAGGAGGTCTGCAGCTTGAATAGCTCCTTCAGAGAGGTTCCCGTCACCTCCACTGGGCCATTTTAGCCTGCTAGAGCTCTCAGTCAAGCAAGATACCTGTTCTGTCAAAGAGCAACCACAAAGCATAACCCTAAAACATTGCATTTAGTGGCCTCTCTTCCAATGTTCCATCAAAATCTGTTCTGCATCTTTCCTCCCTCTTATCTCTTACGGATTCAGGGGGTTGGTGCAGGGATTCCAAATTGGAATTTAGAATGCGCACCAACGTTAACTCGGCCTTCAATGCTCAATAAAGTAAGGTTCCTTGAACACTGTGTGTAACTTCTCCACAGCATTCACTGGAATCCTGGGTTTATCCACTTAAGGAGACAGGGCTCAGTCTATCCTGCCTCCCTCCACACACCACAATACATTTGGTGACCTTCAATGTGCCATAAGACCCTTTGATACGATGGCTGCAACAAACTGAGATGGTTACACGTTGTCAATTTGTATTTAAGGGGAAAAGTAGTGTCATGTGACTTGACTTGGCCAGCTCAGGCCTGACCCAGTGCTGAAACATCAAGCCATCCTGTCAAAACGTGTTGTGAGATGTTGGAAGTCTGAGTGGATATCCAGCATCTATTGCCTGTTATAAGCAAATCTTATGTACTAGGGCTGGAACATTCCGGGACTGTCTAACAGAAACTGGCTGAGCCTGAAGATCCAGAACAATAGCTCACCAGGACTCTGGAGGTGACCAATGAGGAAGTAAGTAAAGGTAAAGGTTCCTTTGCTCGAAAGCCAGTCTAATCCGACTCTAGGGTTGCGGTGCTCATCTCCGTTTCAAAGCCGAAGAGCCAGCGCTGTCCAAAGACGTTTCCGTGGTCATGTGGCCGGCATGACTAAACACCAAGGCGCACAGAACGCTGTTACCTTCCCACCAAAGTGGTACCTATTTATCTACTTGCAATTTCTTGCTTTTGAACTGCTAGGTTGGCAGGAATTAATGAGGAAGTAATGTTATGCATATCGCCTATCCTTGGGAGTGGGGTGTGTTTGGGTGTGGGTTTTGCATGCTATTTAAACAGGGTTCTTGCCCCAGGGTTTTAGTCTTGTTCCTGAAATCACTTAATAAAGTAGGGTTGTTTCACTGCAATGCGTCTTGAACCAGTGTTTAATAGCAAAGTTTGATTTACACTGAGAGAGACTTGGAGGCAGATTAGCCAGGATAGACCCAAGCTAGAGTTGAAGCAGCTACTGGGTGAGAAAAAGATCTTAAGAAACTTGTCAGAAGCATTCCAAGAGCATCTACTAACTTGCTGGCAAGTTTGCAATGTAACCCAAAGACAGAAACACATTTTTGCTTCTAAATATTTGCCTCATCTCATATGACCAAAGGGAAGTCCTCTGAATAACAAACCAGAGTTAGCTGTACCACTTGTATGTTTTGTGGAACTCTCCTAAAGAGTGAGGCCATGTGTCGGTAGGAAAGGCAGATCAAAGATCAAGGCTACAAAAGCATTCATTCCCTCTTCTCCACAGCAGAAACAGGAAGAAGCTGTAAACTTTTCAGCATCTCAGGCTGCTGCAGCCACTCCTGTGGTTGATTTCAAGGATAGAAAATGTTGGAGACAGACCCAAAGTCAGAATTTTTTTATTGGGGGGCCAATTTATTTATACTTAATTAGTTATTTACCAATTTTCTATGTGAGACTTGAGGTGGATTACATGGTACAGAACACTGTAATCAAATAGCATGAGAGGTCTAATAAGCAATGCAATAGGACTACGATTACAAAAATTATAAAAGTGCAAAAAAGTATCAGACATGCTATGTCAAGCAATGCAGGAAACGGAATTACAACAAAATAAAACAATTGTGTAAGAGCATGACAGAATATGCAACAGATCAATTATACATAGTGCACACTGTGGCATAGACTACAGTCCTGTTCTGTATTAGCTTTATAAAAATGACCTCCCAAACAACTGTTTTACATTGCTTGCAGAACTGAAGAAGTGTGGGAGCCTTGCTTTCAGTTACTGAAACCTGCAACTGTAAATACAGCCTTCTTTTCTCTGTAAATCACTAGCTCAAGGCTTCTAATAATGCCACCCAACAAATAGGTAAGATCAGCAACTGCCCATGCACATGTATATTCTTTTTTTGCTCCCATTTTATGGAATGGCTTTTCTGAGGAAGTCAGGAAAGTTCCCATGCATCTGTCACTCTGCAAACTATGTAAAACAGACTATTTTAGGAAGGCATTTTTATAAAGATAATACAGCTATAGGATAACTGTGCTGTCCCAAACAGCATTTAACTTTAGCTAAGTAGAACTGCCATATATCTTTAAGAGAAGTGGCCTCTGGGAATTGAAGTCTTTAGTTAGACATCCGATAGCATTCCTGTAACTGGCTGAGCACAGTCATTTCCGGCTCCCAGAGACGCGGGGAATTCGAGCTTTACAGTCTCCTTCCGTCCCTTTGTCTACACTTGAAATGCAAAGAAGGCGGAGCACACTATCTTTTTTCACCATGAGCCAGAGAAAATAAGTAGATCACCAAAGATGTAAGTAAGAACCCTCCTGAATGCATGTGAAAACTGAATAAAATGATTTAATTCTTCATGAATCTGGCTTCTGCGTTGAATCACGTCCAGAAGGCGCTCCTTAACAAAGCGCCAAGACGGAACAGTGAAAAAAGTGATGAGATGTTCCCCTCCCAGTCTAAAAGAAAGGCTGCTCTCTCCTATAGACGCTTGACTTTGCAGCTAACGTCGTTGCCTGCCAGAAAGGATTTTTTTGTGTGTGTGCTTCCCAGTACATAAGACACAGCTCAGCTCAAAAACAAACCATACGCCTCCCGAAGGGATTTCATATGTAAATCGCCTGCCTTGAGGCTCTGGCTAGCTCCATTGTTTTGCAAACTCTCCCTGCTGGTGCTCCCTGCACCCCCGTCTTGGTCACGCTCCCTGGTTGAAACTTCAAGAGGAGACTCATCGACAATTGCAAAGCTAATAATGCAGCATTAATCCCCAGCAAAGAGGGGGTTCACTAAATCAGCTTTCAATTTAGCAGGAGTCCACTCAGTTTTCTGACGGGCAGTACTAAGAGAGGGTTTTTGCTGGGTTCCCCAGGCTAGCAAACAAAAGGTCCTCAAGCCAGCAGCCTACTAGTTGAACTAGCATAGTGAAGGTGCGCAGCCACCCCCTAGTGGCAAAATTGGATATTGCAAGCAAGCAGTTATTATTTCCTGAGCAGCCAAAGTACAGCGACGTTGCGATAGCACCATCAGTGGGTGGGATCCAGTATTGCAACCGAACACATTTTAAGAAATTCAACTTAAAACAAGTTATGGCAGATACTGACATGGCTGATTCCAAAACTGTCTTAAATGGCAGCACAGAAGACGGGAATGCATGCACATCAGGT